GTTTGTTGTCCTCTTCTCTCTCTCTGCCTACGGTTTTACCGGGCAGTTCTGTTTGTGACGATATATATATATATGTTTGTTGTCCTCTTCTCCCTCTCTGCCTACGGTTTACCGGGCAGTTCTATTTGACGATATATATATATATATCGTCACAAACAGAAATGCCCGGTAAAACCGTAGGCAGAGAGAGAGAAGAGGACAACAAACGATATATATATATATGATGATATACCTCTTCTCTCTCTCTGCCTACGGTTTACCGGGCAGCTCTGTTTGTGACGATATATATATATAACGGTGATATATGTATATTGTCACATGATATCAGAGCTCCAAAGCGAAAAACAGAAAGAAAACAAGGAAAACAAGAAAAACTGAATTCGTTTTTAATCTTCTTCCTTACAACTCCCCCTGTTCAGAACCTCTTGCGTACAAGGCGGCCCACGTGGATGTAGGTTGAGCGGTGGCTGCCCCCACCCCCGTGTGTCATATATATATATAGACGATATATATATATGGTGAGTGATAGTCTGCTTTGACTTTTGCCACAGGTACCTTGAGGGCAGTGGTTGGTGCCCACCTCAGGGTATCAGTTGTGGGGCAGTCGTTGATGCTTAACCACAGCCGGGGTTAAGGTGGATTATCACTAACGGTGTAATCAGTTAGGGGATTCTGCAGACTGTTGAGGTTTCAGCCTCCTGATGAGTCGGCGAAACTCCGACGAAACAGTTTGCCACAGCCCCTCGTTTGTTGTCCTCTTCTCCCTCTCTGCCTACAGTTTACCGGGCAGCTCTGTTTGACTATATATATCTCTGCCTACGGTTTACCGGGCAGTTCTGTTTGTGACGATATATATCTTAACGTAGGAACCGGAGACTCGAACTAAATAAGGAAACATGTTACAGTGTTTTTTTTTTTTTTTTTTTTTTTTTTTGGTAATAAAAGCAGCTGGAAAGTGGGTGTAGCGTCCCTTAACAACCGATGTACTCAGTCAGTGAATCTCCCTGTTGCGGAGAGAGATCCTGAGACAGTGGGGTTGATTGCTGCCCAATTGGGAGGATTTACCACTGCTCCACCCCTGTTTCAAGATGACTATGGGCCTCGCTCCACTACTATCCACATGCACAGAGACAAAAAGCATGGCGGTGTATCTTTCCATGTTATAGTGGAAGATTCACTCTCGTTTTGCACATTTCGAGAGTAGTGGAGCTAGGCGCTCTATGTCTGCTTTTACGTAGAGATCTTGACATCATTCATTGCTTCCCTTTGGAAGGATTAACCCTGCAATCCTGATTACCGTCTTCCCCCAAACACAACGCACCCTCATTTTGGCTGTATCTAGCCGGAAATATAGCTTGTATACATTCATTTTTAGGGTGCGTTATGTTCTTTGAGAAGACGGTTCTGTTTGGTTCGGTCACTCCGGGTAGACTGTGAGGACCCTGGCCTCAATCTTCCTCTCGATAATATCAGCCTTGGGCACTGGGCCCGTTTAAAAAAAAAAAAAAGAAAAAAAAAAAAGACTTTCATGCTTTCTATCGTATCCTTTTACTCTTTTTTTTCTTTTTTCTTTTTTGTTTTTGAGAAAACTGCTAGGCTACCAGCCGGGCTGCCCAGGTCACCTTGTTTGCCTGGGTGGCCCGGCTGTGCAAGGGCCAAAGAAGGTCCCAGCAAAAAGGAAAGATAAAATCCAAACAATCTGGGAAAAAAAAAGTTTTCGTCTTGGGACATGGGAGCCTCTATTCTAGCACGTTTGACCAGCATTTTTTTATTTTTTTTTTAAACATGACAATTTCTCATCATTGTCGGAAAACGGGTCCGACGTCCCTCAGCACTTCTTCATGACCCGGCGACCAATTCCGCGAGTAAGTACTTCAAATTCTTCTAGGGCAGAAAAATAAACTGAACAACTTTTGCCCCAGTGAAACGGTAATCACAAGTTCGAAGTAGCTGATGTAGGACCCAAGGCTCGATCCCTAGTTCCCCAACTTACCTGTGTACAATATCTGTGACAACTTGAAGAATTGAACCTGCGACCTGTAGAACCGCCAGWGGTAAGTAGGTCTGTCGTAGGTCTTTAGGTAGCCAGGATTTGATCCATAGACCTGTAGAGTAGAAGTCCAGCTGCAGTCCTTCTAGAAGGTTGGCAAGTGGTCAAGTGGTGTGACTAAAGCAAGCCCATATTGGAGACGAGGACAAGTGGCAAGGGCAAATAGTAGGACCCCAGTGCAACTGCACTGCGTTGTAGGGTTGTCACTATGCAGTCATGGGAAAGTCTAGAAAGTACCAGTCCGGTCCAGCAAGTACCACGGGGGGGACTGTGTGCATCAGGGGCCAGGGATACAAGGCAGACCAATGCAACACAGAAGTATAAATCAAGAGGCTGCGTCCAGCCATTCATTCATTCCTGCGGAAGCTCTGCGGAAGCGCTGCTCGGGCGTCTTGTGCAAGGGAGGTCTGCAGATGGCCTGAAGACGAAGTGGGCAGAAGTTAGTGATAGGCTAGTTAGCTGTTAGTGGCCATACGCCATAGCCATAGACAGTTAGTGAGTGTGCATGTGTGTGTGCAGTGGTTGGCGTGCATGGTATCCAGGGTGATCCGGAGTCGAGTTGCGTGTGAACTCTGAGTCGAGCATGTAAGTGTGGGCGCCCAGCGCCATAGTCAACTGATGTAAACTTGGATTTGAGTTGAGTTGCAAGCTACCATATCTCCGAGTTTGAGTTGGGTGCACAGCGCCAAGTTATTCTCATCTGTTGCATG